TGACCCAGCAGTGCTCGCAGAGCCATCTGCAGTTCTTTCCTTCCGCGTATGCCTGCGCACGGTTCTGGGCTAGCAGCTCCCGAGTGTCGTCGTCTTCCCAGGTGCCTGCTGTTCCATGCAGCCCGACGCTGGTGCATCCGTCGCAGTTGTAAGTGGCATCCTTCTGCCGCCTGCAGATGCGCTCGTCGCGTACGACTGAGGGGAACAGCGATGTTCCTGGGGCCGGGGAGGCCGGGATGTCTTCGCCAAGTCGGTGGTTGGAGATTGCTATCCCGCGCCCAATGTACTGGAGGTCGCCCATGGTATGTGGGCTGCCTAGTCCCACCTCTGATCCCGCCAAGGCTGTTTGCAGCTGGCAGATGGAGCACCCTCCAATGTTTAGCTGCGTGACGTCGGCAGGCCGGACTAGAGTTTCCAGCACGCGCAGGGGGGCCTCCAGGGTGAAGTCGCGCGTCTGCATCCCTGCCCATGTCTTCGGACATTTGTGCTTGGCTGTAACTTCATGGTGATGGGCATGTGTGGCCAAGGTGCTCGTGTGATGCATGACCTCAGCTAGCATGGCGTGGAGGGAGGCGAGATCCGCGAGCTGGAAACCCCACGTCTCAGCGAACTGGCTGCGGAACTCTTTGTGGGCCTCCTGCCACGGAAGGCACAGGCCCATCATGGCCTCAAGAATGTCGCCTGTGGCCTCTGGGTGCGGAAAGGGCCAGAGTGTGGCGCGGGGCTCGCGTGGCTGCAGCATCATCACCACAAGTAGCACTCTGAGTGTGTGGGGATTGAGGGGCAGCCCGTCGTCTCCCACTAGGGATTGCGTGACATCTGTATCGATCTTGTCGGTCTTGAGTAGGGCATGCAGGTTCCCCATTCCTGGGTGCACCCTGTGGCGTCTGCACTGGCAGGTGCGGCTGCCCCAGGCCGCGGGAAACTGGGGGAGCGTGCCCCGGGGGGCCCAGTCCGAGGAACCAGACCACGGCTGCCCATGTGAGGTTATACACGAGGTTGCTGGGATCGACTCCAACTTCAACATCTAAGCAGTAGCCAAGGTGACTCCAGGCCTTCCTGTCTAAGCTGCCCGGCTGCCTGGGGGTGGCCCCCATTTGCCACTGGTGGGGGTGCAGCCCGAACACTGTGTACAGAAGGATGGCCATAGTGGGGTCGTCAACCAACTTCCGCATGCTATCCGAAAGAGCAGCACTCAGCTTGTCCCAAGAGAACTGAGGGTCGAGTGGTGCCGCGATGCGGTCTGCGAAGGTGCTCTCCATTCTGGCTTTGGCCTTCTTGGCGGCGTCGTCTAGACCTTTCACGCTGTCGCCCCCTGTGTGTGTGGGGGGGCGGGGGGAATCCATGTCGCGAGGTTCACGATGGGCTTAAATTGCTGATCGATGTGCAGCGTGGTTCTCTCGCCCAGGTTTGTCCCCTGGAAGCGGACCCATAGCTTGGCCAGCCTCCCGTACTCGGAGAGCTCCCTGAGGTGTGCTCCTGCGGCGGTGCCGAACATCCCACCGTCCCCGATGATGACCGCGTTGGAGGTGGCCCGCGTGATCAGGACATTCGCTCTGTTGGGGTTGTCCATGAAGCCCCAGTCGTGCCAAAAGTAGAAACGCGTGGTCAGATAGATCACAACGTCCGCCTCCCCACCTCGGCTTGAGTCCACGGTGGAAATGGCGAAACTGCCGTTGGCCAGGTACTTCTCTGCAACTTGACGTAACCCATGGAAGCGTAGGTCAATTCCAGTGAGGGGGGAACTCCATTGTTCGAACACACGTTCGTGCCCTTTGCAGTCGCTGTCGCGTTCGGGGGGGAGAGAAGTGTAGTCGCTCGTTCTGATTACCTCACCTTTGCCGCCTCCTTTCTCCCTGGCCTTGGCCTGTCCCAGGGCGCCGCCGATGCTGCGCCCTGTCTGAGGCCATCCGTTCTCGAGCACAGCGCACTGCAATTGATGGCCAACCGCTGCGAGGACTGTGGTCCCCTTCTCCATGGCGGGCAAGAGCGCCCGCGCGATGTCCACCCTCTGCGCAGCCTCTGGATGATTCGCCCACCCTGAGTGGAGGTTGGACGAGACCTCGAGGGAGGGGTTGTCGACCAGGAGGAACCGATGCCTCTCCTCTGGGTGTTGTGGAGGGGGCTGAAGGTCCCTCAAAAGCTCCTCCAGGTCCTCCGGGGTGGACTCGGTGGCCTCGGCCAGTTCGATGAGTCGCGCACTGTCCCAGGGCAGTATCTGCTGCCACGGTAGTCCTGTTACCAGCGGTCTTTGTCTGCGTGGGTCGGTGAGTCCTGTCCGCATTGCCTTGTTGTAGAAGACCACGTTGGGCCAGGACAGGAGTAGGGGTGCACGCGGTAGCAGAGGGTCAGCTGCACCACTGCTGAGGTGTCCTCACCTAGCACGTCGTGCAGCCGGTCGAATATCGAGAGACGCAGGCCGCGGTCGGCTGCTTTCTTGGAGAGGACAGTGGGGGGGAGCTGCTTGGGATCGCCGACCAGAAATAGGTGCCCGCCAGAGCGCATGACGCTAACGAGAGACATTGCGGCCGTCAGCTCGTTGGCCTGTCCTGCTTCGTCGATAATGAGCAGGGCGACCGGGGAGGCCAGTTTGAGGGGCTCTGCCGCCTCGTGCGTTGCAACGATCATCTTCGCGCCCCTCAGCAGCTGCGAGCGGAAGGCGACGAATTCCTTGGAGGGTCCGCTCTGGTGAGGGGGGCGGTTGTGTGTTCTGTGGAAATGCCCCCCAGGTGCGAGGGGGGCGAGCTTCGGCGCAACACGCGCGTCCTTTGTAAGCCTGACGCACCTGTTGGGGAAGCAAGCTCCGGGCGCCAACCTGCCGTCTTCGTGCGCAGCCCCAAGGCCGATGGCGGGTTGATCGGCGGCTGTGTTCGACCCTGCCGTGAGGGCTACTGCCTGCCCCTTGGGAAGCGTGCTTGCCCGGGCGTCCATTGCGGCCACTGAGAAGAGTGTTTTGCCGGTCCCTCGGGGCCCATGCACCATCGTGACGTGGTGTCGAATGGTGGCGACTAGGGCCTTGGTAGCGTCCTCATTGAGTCGGTGGCGTTGCGCAGCGTCGTTCAGGTTGGTGACGGGGGGGTGGTTTCTGACCCGCTGGAGCACCTGTCCTGTAGCACTCTCAACTTCGTCGTCCGTGAATGGGGCATCAGATGGCCCCTTGGTTTGCTGCTGCAGTTGCACCATGCCGTCCACCTCGATTGCGCGGGGAAAGCTGAGTGCCTTGGCGTCGATGGTGGCTCTCGCCCTGGAAAGAAGGGAGCTGCTGCACGTTCTGGTATTCTCCATTTCGTTAGCCCGTGCCCTGTCCTGTCTGTCAATGGCGCGGTGATTGAGTAGGAATGTAGTGACGTCGAGCGGAGCACCTACGAGGTCGTCTGGGGCCTGCTGCAATGTGTAGATCTCACGGATGGCGTTCGAAATTCGCCAGTATTGCAGCTTGGAGGGAGCTTTGTCCACTCGGTACACGACTTCGCCTTCCTTGTCTGACTTCGCGGGCGCCCCGTGTGGGAGTAGCTCCCCAGTCTGACTGGCGTCGCACCAGGCCAGGGCTTGGTTGGTGGGGTATTTGGCGCCTGCCCTTAGCCCCAGGACGTCGCATTCGTTGCGGGGAATGGCGCCTCCGAAGTCCGGGGGCCACGCGAGTTTGAGGGTGGTAATCTGGTCCTCCGTTGGGCTGGTGAGACTGAGAAGCAACGTGCGTGACTGCGCGTCCTGCCCCCCTTCCAATCCTCGGAGCATTAGCTTGAACTCGACTGGCCATTGTAGATGCAAGAGCAGCTTGCCATTTTCCGGGGGGAAGCGTTGCGAAGCTGGTACATGTCGAGCAGGAAGCAGGTGGATCGCTCGTTGATGGGGGTGACCGTCACCGCCAGGGCACAGCTCTTTTTACGTGCCAAGTCTGTTCTGGCCTTCGCGGAGCCGTCCAATACTGTTTCAGTGGCTGCCATGCACTCGGTCCAGGCTAACCTGCACAGAGTGCAGCCTCTTTGTCGTAGATCCTGCTCCCAGTGCTTTGGCAGGTTGACTCCGGTGGGGGCCGTGCCCAGGGGTGTGCGCAGGCGGAACTGAGCCCCTGGGCTGTCAGCGGGCATGGCGAATACCAGCGGGGATACTTTTTTGATTCGCGGCCCGCAAGGAAAAGTCCAGAGGGCGGCATGACCGAGGCTGGGGCACAGCGACAGATAATTGGCGCGACACCGCGCAGAGTGCACCTGCAGATAAATTAGAAAGAGGCGGCCACAATTGGGCAACCAACGAGCACAGGTCAACCCGCAGGTGGGGCCGAACCGTAGCCCTGCCGAAAGCACGCGGACCCAGGCAAAAACCGCTGAGCGTGCGCCAGCAGAAGAGGGCAACCGCGACTAAGCAGGTGGAAACCAGGCCGGACCCGCAGGTGGAGCACCGACCGGCAGCCTGAAATGGGGGAGGCAGAGAGGCGCGAGAGAAGAAAGAGAGCGCAACCGTGAAGGAAGCGTGGCGGATCCACTCACTTGACACCCAGTGCGTGAGCGTCTACCAGTGGGGATACGCTTTTTTGATTCGCGGCCCGCAAGGAAAAGTCCAGAGGGCGGTTAGAACGAGCTGGGACAGCAGCGCACGGGAAGCAGATAATTAATGGCGCAGCACTGAGCCGGCCGAGAAGCAGCTGAACGTGTGCCAGCAGCAAAAGAGACGCTGAGCATCTGCCAGCGATAAGACCACTAACCGGCCACTGAACGTGTGCCAGCGAGGGGGGGGGAGCAAAAAGGGTCGGACCCGCAGGTGGAGCCGGACTGCCAGGAGAACAAGGCCAAACCACTCACTCACTTGGAACGACGGTCAGCCTGCACGCAACTGAGGGGAGTGCGGGCCAAAGCCTAGTAAAAATCGACCACCATGGAAGCGACCACGGGACCCTGGTACCAGGGCGGCGTGCGGCTTGTGCATTTCGAAGGCACTCCTGTGACTGCAGCCGATGTCTCGCACGAGCGCCCAATGGTGCCTGACCGACGTCCTTATGTGCCAACGCCGACAAGGCTGACCGTACTGTCACCACGCCAATGTGCAAGGGGGGGCGGAAGCCGCCGTCACAATACCGACGGCGGGGGAGCCACTGCATGTTGCCGACTCCAAAGTTGGGCCCAGACATGGCCGAGGCCAGCGCCCGGTGAGTCCCGCCCCGCGCACGCCGCGGGCAAAAGGAATGTAGAAAGCCGAGGGAGGGCGATGCGCCTTGAGCGAGCCGCCTCGGAAGAACAGGGCCGACGCAGCGGCAAACCGACGACGGGGTTATTTCAGCCGGCCGAACGGGCTAAAGGCCCACGCTAACGTAGGATTTTTTTGTGTATCGGCCCCGCGGCGCGGCGCAGCGCTGCAAGCTGGTCTCTTATACTCGCGCCGAGAATCGGGTCGGGGGGCGGGGACTCGAGGCCGCGGCCGGCGTCCGGTCGCCCAGATATCTGGGGGTCGCAGGCGGGCTCAGGGGGCGGGCTGGCCCGCGAGCTCAGTCCACACGCAGCGGCTCTTCCTCCGCGGCGGCCGGCGCCGTGGCGGGCGGCACCGCCGCCGGGGAGCTGGGCGCCGCCGCGCCGGGCGGGGGGGCGGGGTCACCTCGGCGGGCGGCGGCTGCCAGGAGCAGGGGCTGCGGGGCCCCGGCGGCGCCCGGGGCGGCGAAGAGGTCCTCGACGTTCACACTCCTCTCGTTGTAGCAGGCGAGCACCTGCACCTCCTCGCACTCGCCCACGTGCCGGGGCTCGTCCACCCAGCGCACCAGCTGCTTCCAGCTGCGCTGCCTCGAGCTCGGGGCCGTCGAAACGACGTGGTCGTTGCCAAGGTCCGCGGCCCACCAGACGCTGTAGCCGTGAAGCATGCCGCTGTGGTCGATGGACATGGTGGCTATCCTCGCCGCTAGCGCGGGCTTCTTGTCCATCCGCATGCAGAGTGTCGTGCCCTCGAGGTTGGGCTGATCGCCGCCCCGCTCGGGCGGCACGGCCGCCAGGTCGATGTCTAGGGCCCGTGTCGGCTCGTCCGCGAGCCACCTGCGAGGGAAGTGCTCAATGCGCATCGGCGAGAACTTGCCCTTGAAGGCGTTGGCCAGGGGAACCAACGTCGTCTTGTGCTCCCTCTCCAGCGGGCCCCACGGCGACAGCTCCAGGGGCTGCACCATGACGGCGAGGCGGCTCGGCAGCATCACGCCGCCATCGGCAAGAAGCCTGTCGTGAGCGTGCTTCATCGTTGGGATGACCCCTTCACCTAGGCCCCAAATGTCCATGACCTCGGAGACGATGATGTCAAACTTCTGCCCCGTGTGCTCTCCGACCTTCAGGTCGGTGGACATCATCGGCGGGAGGAGCTGCACGAGCCCCTTGCTGCGCTGTATCATGGGCGCGTTGACCGCGAGCACCTCTCGGCACATCTGCCGCATCATCGGCACCGCCTCGCGCAGCCACGCGTCGGCGCCCTCCAAAGCCGCCGTCACCCCGAGCAGCCCGAGGCCGCAGCCGATGTCCAGCACGCGCGGCCTCCGGCCGAGGCGGGCCCGCTGCTTGGTGACGGCGTCTCGGATGGCCGCACCGTATACGTTCAATCGCTCCGTGTCCGTGAGCATGAGGAAATGATAAGGCAGAATGGGCAAGGTCGCCGCGAACTCCGGGTGCGTCGGCGCCTGCACCCAGGCCGGCGATTCCACCGAGAAGGGGCTCTGCTGCATCATGCGCACGGTGAAGCGTGGGGCGATGGACACGAGCACCTCCAGCGTGTCTCCGACAAAGACGTCCGTCTCGCCTGCAAGGTAGTGCACCGCCTGCTTCCACTCCGAGCGCGCCTGGGTGGCGCCGCCCTGCGTGGCCTGCCCCTTCGCGAGCTGAGGCTCTGTGGAATACCCCAGGCCGCCGGACGTCGCCCGCCACCACAGCGCTACGCCGTTGCACCGCCCGCGCGACGTGATCCTCAGCTTCAGCGGGCGGCGGACCTCGTCGAGGGTGATCTCGGGCGACCTGTGGAAGTCGAAGCCGCAGAGCGGCTCCGCGGGCCCGTGCAGCTTCACCCTGGTGTTGGGCTGGTTGTCCAGCCGTACAGGCCACCACCAGAAGTCGGCCTTGGCGTTCGACGAGGTGCTACGCAGGGCGTTGAAGGAGCGGATGTCGAATGGGCCCAGCTCCTCGCTGCGGATCTCCACTGGTGCGGCCACAAGCTCGATGGTCTGTGGGACATGCTGAATGCGCGCCCCAGGCAAGGCCGATCGCACCGCGGCGTGTGCGGCCACGCAGGCTGGCACGATGCCGTTCGACAGGAGGTCGTGCCCAAAGCGCTCGGTCAAGATGACTACCTCCCCCACGCCTTCTGGCGCGTACCGCTTCAGGGCCGCGGCCACGGCGCTCTCGCTGTCGAGCCCCGCTGGCAGGGGCGCTACGGGCATCGTGAGGCCGTTGGCCCTGGCCAGCTCCTTCGCCAAGGCCGCCAACCTCGTCGACCTCTCCAGCAGCAGCGCGCCGCCGCCCCGGCGGGCGGCCGCGAGCGCAGGCAGCACGGAGCCGAGGCCAAGCACCACGACGAATGCGCCGGGCGGCGCCGCGGCGAGGGCGTCCCGGTAGAAGCACTGCCGCGGGGCATCCTGAATGCCGCAGCGGAATATCCGCGAGAAGGTGTGGGCCAGCAGGTGGTCGTTCTCCTGCGCCCCAGCGTCGAGCAGCTTGACGAGGGGCAGCAGGCAGGCGGTCCCGCCGCCTCCCGCGCCGATGCCCACCAAATACTGCGGCAGCGGCGGCGGGGAGCCCTGGGCCGGCCAGGCGTCCGCGAGGTCCTTCACGCCCACGTCGACTGCCGCGACTCCGCCCGCCGCCGGCGTGGGGGGGCCGACGGAGCCGTCCTCCTCGTCGTCCGAATCGACAACCTTGCTCCACTTGGAATAGTCCACGAGCGAAGCGTCCCGGTCCGCGGCGGGCCCCACCGCCGCCAGAGGCTTCTCCTGTGCGCGCCGCGCAGCCGGCGCCGGCGCCCGCGCCCGCGCCGCCGCGAGCGCGGCGGGGAAGCGCTGGGCCAGCAGCCGCGCGGCCATGGCCGCCTCCTCCGCCGTCAGCAACGTCCGGGCCTTGGGCGCCCCGTCCGCAGCCTCGGCCAGCAGCAGCGTCGGGCAGGCCTCGGGCCGCGGCGTGAGGTCAACCCACCGCCCGTCCGGCAGGGCGTTCCACCAGTAGCGCTCCGCGACGAAGACCTCCCCAGGCGGGCGGTCGAGCCGCTCGAAAATGGCCCAGCCCTCCACCATGGACAGTGCGCCCGAGTTGGCGGCCGCGCGCTCGGCGTTCGAGAAGCTCTGCAAGGGATGGAAGCGGAGGCCGTGGACGCCCGCGGCCTCGCGCTCCTCCCGCGTGGGGTGCCCTGCGACGCACACGCGCCGGCCTGGGATGCGCCCTCTCTTGCTGATGAGGGCCTTCAGCCGCGGGCTGGAGGTGTACACGGCGGGCCAGTCGCGGGGGAAGCCGAGCGGGCCGCGCCACGCAGGCTCTGGCGTCTCCTCCGGCGCCTCTGGTTCCGTGGTCACGAAGTCCCCGCCGCAGAGCCAGCGGCCGAGGCTCCTCCCCACCGCCGCCGGCGCCCCACTGCTGTCCAGCAGCTGCGCCATGCGCGCAGCGGGGATGGCGGGGGCCGAGGAGGGAGCGGGAGGCAAGGGGGAGGAGGAGGAGGAGGAGGAAAGTGTGCACGGCGGAGGACACGGCACCCCGCCCGCCGCCGGCCCCCTCGGGCCGCGCCTTGAGCCATAGGGGCTACGGACCAGTGGGGATCGTCAAGAATTGATGTACCCCAAAATGGATCCTTTCGTATAGCCTGCGGACACATGCGCAGAATCTTCGTACACCTAGGGGCATTAAGCGCAGATTGCTCGCAGCTTCGACGAGCAAACCAAGTTTGGGGCAGATCTATTCGGCAGTCGATCCCCTCAGGCTGCAGCCAGCAGCCCGCCCGTCCCCCAGTGGGGGGGCAGCGAGCGGTTAAGGCCGAGGGGCGGGGCGCCCCCGAAGCGCACGCGAGGAAGGCATGTATATGCATGTCAGGGCTCCCTGGCCGCCCTGACGCTGATAGCAAGGTTCGTCAACAGGCCGTTGCCATCGGGCCCCCAGGCCCCCTCCTCCTCCTCCTCCTCCTCCTCCTCCTCCTCCACATCCTCCTCCTCCTCTCCTCCTCCTCCTCCTCCTCTTCCTCCATCTCCTCCTCCTCCTCCTCCTCCTCGTCCTCCTCCTCCTCCTCCTCCTCCTCCTCCTCCTCCTCCTCCTCCTCATCATCATCATCATCATCATCATCATCATCATCATCATCATCATCATCATCATCATCATCATCATCATCATCATCATCATCATCATCATCATCATCATCATCATCATCATCATCATCATCATCATCATCATCATCATCATCATCATCATCATCATCATCATCATCATCATCATCATCATCATCATCATCATCATCAGCATCATCATCATCATCATCATCATCATCATCATCATCATCATCATCATCATCATCATCATCATCATCATCATCATCATCATCATCATCATCATCATCATCATCATCATCATCATCATCATCATCATCATCATCATCATCATCATCATCATCATCATCATCATCCTTCTCCTCCTCCTCCTCCTCCTTCTCCTGCTCCTCCTCTAACGATGATGGCAAGGTTCGTCAACAGGCCGTTGCCATCGGGCGCCCAGGGACCCCTCCTTCTCTTCTTCCTCCTTCTCCTCCTCCTCCGAGAACCCTCTCCGAAACGTACCTTTGAATGTGCTCTGAAGCCCCGTCGCGACGGGCTTCGTGGACCCCTCTTTTGGCGCCACTCCGAGAATTTCTCGACAGGGTGCTGCTGTTTTTTACCTAAAAGCGAAGACTGATAGGTTTCCAGTGGGGTCAAAAGAGAGCATCATGACTCCTCAGGGGGGTCGGGGCGGGACCCGGGGCGGCTGCCGTCGAAGCCCAAATCGCCTCGGACATCCTCGCAAAATCGCTCTTGGCGCTGCTAGAACTCCATTCCCAGCGTACATTTTGAATGCCCGGAGCCAACTGTAGGCCACTTCGTGGTCTTCGAGTTCCCAGAACTCCATTCCCGGCGTACATTTTGGATGCCCGGAGCCAACTGTAGGCCACTTCGTGGTCTTCGAGTTCCCAGAACTCCACTCCCGGGCCACATTTTGGATGCCCGGAGCCAACTGTAGGCCACTTCGTGGTCTTCGAGTTTCCAAAACTCCATTCCCGGGCCACATTTTGGGTGCCCGGAGCCAACTGTAGGCCACTTCGTGGTTCCTCCCTCCCCTTTCTCCCTTCATCTCTGTACGGTGTACCCGACCCTTTATGACGTCCTCCGCAGGCCTGGGTGGTCCACTCAGGCCGCGGGGGAGGATAGGGGGCGGAGGGGTCTTCTTCTTTCCCTAAACAGCTTGATCCTCGTCGCCAGTACTGAGGAGGGGGGGGGGTGCACCGTTCCCTCGGATGGGCACATCCCCCCCCCTCCGGGAGCTCTCGATCCCATCTCTATCTCTCCTTCTTTCTTTCCCTCCTCGACGCATCGCTGTTAGGTTGCTTTGCCGGGATAATCCGACTTTCCCGGGCTCCCGTTCCCTTTCTGAAAAAAGTTCGGACGTCCGCTGCGCCCGCGGCAGCGAGTTAACAAACGGAGCTGGGTGCGGTCCTTGTGACGCACCCTCTCAAGGCACGGCCCCTCCCAGACGCCGCCCCGTCCAGGGACTCTCCCTAACACTCTGGTGCCTGGGGCGGCGGAGTGGAGGAAGTGTACTGGGTCCCTTACGCCACCACGGCCCCTTGCCCTGAGGTTGTTTGAGCTTGCCAATGGCTTGTCCTGTAGTCTCCCTGATCTCCTCTCCTGATTTAAAGGGCTCACCATCGAGTCCTTGAAGATGGCACGACGAAGTCATCAACTGTCAGCGCCCCGCGCAGAAACAACACATGAGCTCCCAAATGGCACAATATGCACAGCCCAAGACAAGGGATCGTCCGCCATCGCGCTTGCAACGGTTGGTGCAATTACAGTCAACTCGTAAAGTAAGGACGCACGATAAGGACGCGAGGGCCTTTGAAGGCCATGTCGACACTTTGCGAGCGGGGCGCGGCCAGCGAAAGCGGCCGAAGGGGAAAGATGCAAGGGTAACCTTGGAAGGTCGCTCATCCTCACCGTGCGGGTTGACTGTACGACGGGTGCCTTCTTTGTCGTTCTTGCTTCCTGCAGTGTCAAGAGTCAGCGTGGGAGAGGAAGACGAGAAGGAGGAAGACGAGGAGGAGGAGGTGGAGGAACACGAGGAGGAGGAGAGGAGGAAGAGGAGGAATGACGCATCGGCCAGAAACCTCGATCCTCCCGTGCGAACGCCTGGGCCACTGCAGTCTTGGTTGCGCCCACGGCGAGCTGCGACACGCGATCGGTGTGCGCGGCCCGGTTCCCACGGCGCCTTCCGCACGGGCCTTGGCCCTGCCCGACCAGGCGCAGAAGCGGTATCCAGACACGGAGGGCGGCAGAACGACGGGATACACGGCCACGAGCAGCCTCGATCAGCCTCCCTCCTCCTCCACCTCCTCCTCACTCTCCTCCTCCTCCTCCTCCTCCTCCTCTTCCTCCTCCTCCTCCTCCTCCTCCTCCTCCTCATCATCCTCCTTCTCCTCCTCCTCCTCCCCCTTCCCCTGCCCCTGCTCCTCCTCCTCCTCCCTCCTCCTCCTCCTCCTCCTCCTCCTCCTCCTCCTCCTCCTCCTCCTCCTCCCTCCTCTCCTCCTCCTCCTCCTCCTCCTCCTCCTCCTCCTCCTCCTCCTCCTCCTCCTCCTCCTCCTCCTCCCCCCTCCTCCTCCTCCTCCTCCTCCCTCCTCCTCCCTCCTCTCCTCCTCTCCTCCTCCTCCTCCTCCACCTCCTCATCTTCCTGCTCCAACTCCTCCCTCCTCCTCCTCCTCCTCCTCCTCCTCCTCCTCCTCCTCCTCCTCCTCCTCCATCTCCATCTCCATCTCCATCTCCATCTCCATCTCCATCTCATCTCCATCTCCATCTCCATCTCCATCTCCTCTCCTCCTCCTCCTCCTCCTCCTCCTCCTTCTCCTCTCCTCATCTTCCTGCCTCCTCCTCCTCCTCCTCTCCTCCTGCTCCTCCTCCTCCTCCTCCCCTCCTCCTCCTCCTCCTCCACCTCCTCCTCTCCTGCTCCTCCTGCTCCCTCTCCTCCTCCTCCTCCTCCTCCTCCTGCTCCTCTTCGTCCTCCTCCTCCTCCTCCTCCTCCTCCTCCTCCTGTTTCTCCTTCTCCTCCTCATCCCCCTCCTCCTGCTCCCCGAAACGCAGAAGCGATATCCAGGCAAGGAGAATCGCAGAAGGAGAGCCTATGCGGCCACGAGCAGCCTCGATCCTCCTCCCTCCCCCTCGATCCTCGGCCTGCGATGCCCCCGAAGGCAATGGGGAGCACCGCCGCTGCGGGCCACCCCCACGGTGGGGGCGAGCGGAGGCGGACCCCCACGGAGGCAGAGGATCGACAACCGCCCCTTGGTCGAGCAGGGGATCGACTGCAGAATTGATCGACCCATTGATTTGTTCGTCGAATCTGCGAGCAAAGTATGTGGAATTGCCGAAGATCTACAAACATTCTCATATTTGTTCGCAAAGCTCGCCGAAAGGATGAATTTTGGGGCAAATCAACTCTGCAATCGGTCCCCTGCTCGACTTCTGGAGCATCGACGACCTCCCCTCCTGGATGCAGAGCGCTTCCAGAGTGGAGGAGCAGAGGCCTCCGGCACGGAGGTCGGACCTCCGCTCTGAAGGCTCTCTTTCTCCCTGGGGACGCGAGCCGACCGTCGGCTGCAGCGGACTGCGCCCTCCGAGGCCTACTGGGGACCTCTTGGGGCAGAAGGCTAGAGTTCTGCGTTCGTGCTCGCACTCCACTCTTGGGCCCTCCTCGGGGCCGTCTCGTGGCCCCTCTTGGGCAGTCGTGGGTGCCTCTTGGGCCGTCTGGGGGCCTGTCTTGGAGCCCGCGAGCCGACCGTCGGCTGCAGCGGACTGCGCCCACTTGCGCCCCGGGCGGCCCCGTGGATCGGGGCGGGCACCCCGCGCCCCAGAGCTCCGAGGAGCGCGGCTACGGGGGCCTGGGGACAGCGCAGCACACGGCACACAGAGGGGGGCTTTGTGGGCGGCACCACCATCACCATGGCCACCCCCCTCGACCGCACTCCACTCTCGTCGTCCTCGGCCTCCTCCTCCTCCTGCTTCCTTGTCCCCTCCTCCTCCTCCTCCTCCTCCTCCTCCTCCTCCTCCTCCTCCTCCTCCTCCTCCTCGTTCTCCTCCCCGCCCCTCCCATGGAGACTCCCGGGCTCCGGGCAACTCGGGAAGACTCTGGAGGGCTCTGGGGGCCCCCCCCGAACACCTCCGAGCTCCTCCCTCCCCTCCCCTCCCTCCGCTCAGCGGCAGGCTGCGCCGCGTCGCGAGGCGCCCGCCCCAGAGACCGACCGAGAGGAGAAAGACGCTCTGCGAAGGGGCAGTCAGCGCCCTACTGCTGCCGCGTGGCGCACCGGGGGCCTGGCGCAGGGAGCCGACCCTCGCCACCTTCGAAGGCCCACACGGCCAAAATACCGAAACGTCACGTCAAGAACGGGGCCCAGTGCTGCTACAGATGAGGCCAGAAGGAGCCCCGCCCCCTGCCCCCCCGGGAGCAACGGATGTGGAGCACATGCCTGTATCAACCACTGCCCGAGGTCGCACGGCTGCGGAGCACTAGAGATGTGTACTTTGGCAGTGGACACTCCCTCCCTCTTACATCCTCCCTGCTCAAGCCGACACATCCACTTTGTAGATTTAGGGCCACCTGAGCGATCCTCCCACTCCTCCTCCCCCTCCGACATTACTTCTCCTCCTCAGCCAACGACGCCGACGGCCCTACGACCCTACGACAGACGAAGGCGACGACAACGACGACGACGACGCCGACGCGACGCCGACGCCGACGCCGACGCCGACGCCGACGCCGACGCCGACGACGATGACGACGACGACGCCAACGCCGACGACGACGCCGCCGCCGACGCCGAACCCGACGCCGCCGACGCCGACGCCGTCGCCAGCGCCGACGACGACGGCCCCGCGACGGACGATCACAGGCGACGGCGGCGCAGACGAGACGGGCGACGACGACGGTGGACACCGACGCCCGGCGACCGCGAAGACGAGCACGGGCGACGACGACGACGACGACGACGACGCCGACGACCCGAGCAGGAGCGGGAGGGGGTTCAGCAGGGACCGACCGTCCCGGTATTTCTATAGTCCTACCACGAAATGTTGGTAAAACCCAAACATATTCTAAGAACAGAAACCATGTTCTTAGAACATAAACCCGAGGTGTTCAAACAGGACAGTCCGGCCAGAAATGTTCCAAGAACATCTCGTGGAACCCACACAAAGGCTCTCAGTACAGTGTTTCGTGGGCCTATAGGCGAGCCGGGACGGTTCGCCACTGCTTGAATCGCCTACACGCAAGAGTGACCCTGGGTAAGAGTGACCTTTGGTGCGCGGCTTTTGGGGGGCCGCGTGGGGACCAAACGTGGGCGCGCAAGCCGTTGCTCCTGCGTCGCTTGCAGCCATCTGGGGACCCATCTGTGCCCGCACCAAAGGTCACTCCGGCGAAAGGTCACTCTTACGTCTAGTCGATTGAAGGGGGGGGCTTCGGCGGCCCGGCCCCACCGCAGGTCCCAGTAGACCGTGGGCCGGGGGCCGCCGCCGAGCGTCGGGGAGGAGAGGGCGGCCACCTCCGGAGGCACGGGGAGCCCGCCTCTGCGCAGCGCCCTCTGCGCGCTGGGCTGCCACTGGTCCCTGCTTCCTGTTCACCCTCCTCCTGCTGCTGCCTCTCCTCCTCCTCCTCCTCCTCCTCCTCCTCCTCCTCCTCCTCCTCCTCCTCCACAATTACTCAATATGAATACTACTCTCCTCCTTCCCCTGATGACGGGTTGGGAGTGTTCGCCCCCCCCCCCCGCGTACTGCTTTTTACACACAGGATTCCCCAGAGTTGGGTTTTCGCCTGCATTTTTTCCAAAATGCTGCTCTCGCTGAGGCGCCGGCCTCATTTTCGGGCCCCGCTCGTTCCGAATCGTGCTCCCGCTGCAGCGCTGGCCTCATTTCCGTGCTTCCGCTCGTTCCGAATCGTGCTCCCGCTGCAGCGCTGGCCTCATTTCCGCGCTTCCGCTCGTTCCGAATCGTACTCCCGCTGCAGCGCTGGCGTCATTTCCCGTGCCATGCCACGGCATGCAATGCAATGCTAGGTTGCGTTCCGCTGCGCGATGCCATGCCTTCAGCTGAAGCTGTGATATGCAGTGCTTAAGTGCCACGTCGTGCTATGCCATGCTACGCTTTGATCTTCAACGCCATGCTATGCAATGTTATGTTCGGGGCCGCTGTGCGATGCCATGCTTTGCGTTGCAAAGCTTTGTGATGCAATTCTTCACTACGCCACGCCACGCCATGCTGTGACATACTACGCTTTGCGGTGCTCTTCTACGCCATGCCATGCCGTGCTCTACAATGCATCGCGTACCCTTTCGGGATCATTGCCCTGCTCGACATCCGACTGTGCGAGTAGAGAGGGGATCTACGCCATGGTAAGGGATGGGAGGGAGGGGTAGGATGTCAGATATGACGCGAGCGCACCTAGCTTGTCCTCCTCCCCCTCCTCCTCCTCTCCTCCTCCTCCTCCCTCCTCCTCCTCCTCCTCCTCCTCCTCCTCCTCCTCCTCCTCCTCCTCTCCCCTCCCCCCTCCTCCTCCTCCTCCTCCTCCTCCTCCTCCTCCTCCTCCTCCTCCTCCTCCTCCTCCTCCTCCTCCTACTACTACCCCTCTTCATATCTGCTGCCCCTGCCCAATCTCCTCGTCCTTCTCGTCGTCGCCCTCCCCCTCCCCCTCGTCCCCATCGAAGGGTCGACTTTTGTTGCTGGCCGCAGTGTGGACGTCCGGGGGCAGCCCTCGGCCGCAAGTCGATCGGATCGCTTGCACGACCGGGCTGGTCTGGAAATCAGCCCCCGCTCATCGGGGTGGGGGTATCAATTGGGAGCGCGACGTCGTATCACTCGCCGCCACGCACAGACGTCAGTACCTTTCATCGACTCGATCGAAACGTGGACATCCCTGACTCCCCGTTCGACTGTTTTATGATGTTCTGGATCTTGGACGTTCTGGTGGGTTCCTGCGAGTTTCGGGGGGATCCTGGAGCTCCTGCGGGGACCTGTTCAGTTTCTTGGATATGCTGCAAGTTTTTATGGAGGACAATCCTACTTCTCTCCTGCTCCTCCCCGTTCCCCCCTGTCTCCGAGAGGCTGCCGAGAGGCTTTTAGAGGGTTCCCATGTTGGCCATGGGGGGGGGCTGCTTTGGCTGCTCCCTAGTTAGTCTGACTGGGGTCTTGCCTCTATGGGCTGATATGCTGGTACGGATACGTGAAGCGTCGAGAGTGCTGAAAACCGATTCGTTGTTTTCAATCGCCCCAAAATCAAATGCACAAGAGCCTCCCTGGACAATCAGAAGTAAGTGGAATGCCGTCGCACACTCCGGCAGCACATGTCAGGATCTGCAATGGGAGGGGCGACCATATACAAACCAAAAAGATTCGCTGACACATCTCCCTGTTGTGTTTGCGCTATCATTTTCCTCCGCCGCAGCCTCACCATGTGCGAGGTTCGCGTTCTCATTGTTTGCGCAACCAGCGTGTGCACTGGAGGGCCCTCGCGAAGATAAAAAGATTTGACGAAATCTCCAGGCCGATTTCGATAAGCGGCCAGGTTCCTGGGGTCCCAGACCCAGGTCTTGGTCTCAGGGTCTTGCAAATATTGGTGAAAGTATGTCGGATTTCAGTTGGCCCCAGTCACATGCCTTTGCATCCAAACTCCAACCGATTCCGATGGGCAGCTGGGCTCCTGGGTTTCCAGAGTAGAGGGGGAGCGAGAGAGAGAGAGAGACAGAGAGAGAGAGAGAGAAAGAGAAACAGAGAGAGAGAGAGAAAGGCAGAGTGACATCAACAAGAGAAAGAGAGAGAGAGAGAGAAACGAAAAGCGACAAGCGACAAGTGACAAGTAATACCAACGACTACGGGTATCATAACGAGCAGAATGATCAATAAGGAGAGAGAGAGAGAGAGAGGGAGAGAGAGAGAAATAAACAAACCAACAGCATACAAAAGGTAGTATGACGAGGCGAAAGAGCAGAAAGGGCATTGAATAGGGAACACTTCGTGCACTAGTACCGTAAGGCAGGGAGAGGAATAGAGAGAGACAGGGAGAGAAAGAGGGATATAGAGAGAGAGAGAGAGAGATTGCAGAAAACACTGAGCAGAGCGGAGTAAGCAGAGAGCATCGAGTAGAGAGAAACGAGTGGAGAGGCGAGAGTAGATAGTAGAGGGTGGATAGTAGAGGGTAAAAGGAGGAGGGTCGACACAACGGGAAGGGTACAGAGCAGAGAGTAGCTGGTAGAGAGTAAAAGGAAGAGGGCAGAGAGTTCAGGGGATCGGACACCACGGGTGCGTTGCCCTTAAACCCTTACGCGCGAGCAACTGACTTGGCTTTCTGTACCGTTCTGTCCTGTCCCCTGAACAGGGGAACTGCTGTCCTGCGTAAGATATCGCCTCGAAGCTGCAGGACCTCAATGGTGTCACAGCTCTTGGTTCCTTTCAAAGGATAGACGCCATATCGACTCGGGGCTGGATGCACCTAGCTTGCAGCAACTCGCAGCAAAATGCTGCCTGTGACTATCATAAGACGATGAAAGGAATATCGCTAATTCAGGCTTAATCCACGCGTCCCGTCGTCGTCGTCGTCGTCGTCGTCGTCGTCGTCGTCGTCGTCGTCGTCGTCGTCGTCGTCGTGGCTGTCCCCTTTTCGTCGTCGGCTGCAACGGCAAAACGGTCATCGTCGTCGACGTCGTAGTCGGCGTTCCACGCCGTTTCGCCTGCTGCTTCTTGAGATCTCAAAGCCAAGGGCCGCGCCTGCAACGAGTCGGCCGCACCCCAAAACTGCTGGAGCGGGAGGCAGCCCAAGCCTGGGATGTTGCACACCTGCGACATCATGCGAATGTGAGACGGTACTGTAATAGCGCCATGGGCTTCATGTGAAGACAAAGATGTATATGGGGGCATGCGACCATACATCACAACATAATGCGCCTAGGCGGTGATCAAATGGCACGAGGATGGTGCCACTTTTGTGATATACCCGCGTGGACAGGCAATGGAAACACGAGGAGAACATATGCGTGCACATGGAAACCAGTACGCAAGGTGTCTCCGGACATCCACTTGAGTAAAACTTGAGGAAGGGAAGAACGACGATGAGAGGTATAGGACCAGCAGGAGGAAGAGAAGGCGACGGAGGAGGAGGAGGGGGAAGAGAATAGGAAGGCAGCATCACAGCGTCATTCCTCTATATAGGCGCATCGATCCCCAAAAGGTGCCGAAGCCGAGCTGCCCCGAGTCCTTGCGCCTTCAAGTCTCGCCCTTCCCAAGACATTGGTCTGACAACCGCGACGCCACTCACCACACCCGAACAAAAACCAACAAGACACGATCACAACACGGGTACGCGTCAGAGCACTGACTGCAAAACTGATCCGCAAGGGGGGTCCAAGGCATGTTCGTAACGTCAGTACGTGCTCCTCCCTTTTCATTCCTTCGCTGCCGAGGGGCAAGACGCAAAGAGGAGCGTCCGGGCGAGGGGGTAGCCAAGAGGGGGCGCTCTCGCCCGACGCGCGGAACCATCGGACGAGGAGCCTGGAAATGTCGCGGCACCGACTCTCCACTACTTTTCGGGTGGGGTGGAGCTCCAGCTCCTGCGGCATCTCGAGATCCCCAACCACGGGTAACGCCGTGCCGAACGAGGAAGGAATGCCACGAGATCCGACCATCCAACGGATAATTCCGAGCCGACGGCGCTACTTTACTGGGCACCTGCTCTGATGCCACGGGGCGCCCGCCTGCCATGACGCGATGTCCAGGTACATGGAGTAGAAAGTAAAAGTATATGTCGTGCGCGAATCGAACGGCAATGCCTCTCGCGGGTCCATCTTGGGAAGCCGGAGCAGCTCCTGACGAGCACTGAAGTGATTCCACAGCCGGGGGAGCATAGGAAGTGCAATGGGACGAGGAGAACGGATGAGAGGATGGAGTGCAAGGTGACGAGGTGAAGAGAAAAGGCAGGAGGACGTGGTCCAGTGGGAGATGAATAAGCGCGCAGTCTACCTTTTAGTCCCCGCCACGCCGGGTCGCAGGATGGCAGCGAAGCGCCGCAGTCAGACCCGTGCGAGGCGAGGAGAACGGATGCCCGCCCTGCACGGGGGTCACGGCTACAGGCTGGATGCCGGCGACGGGCGCGAGCTCAGCTTCCAGGAGTGCCGCGTGATGAGCTCCTGCGAGCACGAGAAGACGTGCCGCCCCTCGCGCGTCCAGACCTTCGCGTGCGTCAGGATGCGCGACACCCCCGCCCAGGTGCAGCGGGACTCGAAGAGCAGCCAGTCGTCCGCCCGGAACTCCTGGGAGTGGAACCACATGCTGTGGTCCAGGGAGGCCATCATCGACGGCTCGTTCCCGCGGATGCCCCCGTACGGTGCGTAGGCGGGGAGGGCCATGCCCATGTCGGACATGTACGCCAGGCTCGCCACGTGGACCTGCGGCTCCGAAGGGAGGCGCCCGACCACCCTCCGCCACTGGTACGAGGTCGGCTCCGGGGAGCGAGCGCTGTCCTCGGCCAGCGGCACTTCGCGATTCTCGACCCGGACGGGCTGCTCGGACACGACCCTGTAGTACTCCCTCCTCTTCTCGGGGACCGAGGGGTCCATGGACAGCTCGAGCAGCAACTCGTGGCTCGACTTCAGCCCGTCTGGGCCCGGGACAGCGGGCATGGGCGCCTCCACCTCCGGCCCAGTCGAGACTTGGGGAACGAAGAATGACATAAACCTAAAATCTCGGAGGTCCGCGCAGATTTCTCCTACCGGCGCTGGACCCCCCTTCCTAGCGCGAG